ACAGCTCTGACTAGATCCCTGCGTAGACTGAATCTACATGGGGTTCCTACTATTCCAAACTTGTGACATCTTTCTTGTTCTTTGCAACGTAATTGTAATCATTATTGTACCTGATATTCTTAGACCTCTTGATACCATGACGTATGATGTATATATATGAATATTACCCTACGATACGTAGATAGGAACAGTATATTCAACCATACTGCTGATTCCATGTCTTCTGTATGTATACTTCTTATACTGTGGGTACATACTCCAATACAGTACATACGTATTCCCACACAGTACGTATGTTGCAAGATTGCTACCAGATTGTAGCAATATGGTATCAATTCTGGTATCAATTCTGGCAGCAAAAGGAGGTTCCCAGGACTACAACAACGCAAATTTAAATACTATCCAGGATTAACATAGTACTATCTGGGTTTAACAAAGCCAGCCAGCCAGCAGCTGCTCCTTCACCAGCTTGAGCAAATTGATATATTTGGACATCTGTAGTACAAAAGCTGTGTAGAAAAGCTGTGTAGAAAGCCCCGTAGAAAATAGCAAATCAAGGGGGGTACACTGTCTGTTTTGCTCAAAATAGAAGGGTTTTGATTCCAGGTTCAAAATTGTACTGTGTCCTAGTGTCTTTACCTGCTAAACTTCCCTCCAGCTAATTAAACTGTTCTTTTCATTCTAAATAAACTCCCTGATTCAAATCAACCAACCATGGAAAGAGTTCAATTTCAAGCCCTTCCACTCACTCTTTCTTACTGCGCTTGGTATCAATCAATAGCTCTCTTCTATTGTCGATTGAACAAGCCTTGAACTGTAGAAAAGGACCCAGCAGAAGTTGTTTTATCTCACATCAAGGAAAACACCAACTTGCTGACGACTGTCAACCATGACCAGTCTTTCCAAAGACAGCATAGAACTAGTAGCAAAAGATATTCTTGAAGTGAAATAGTGGCAGATATTTGGAATAGGATAGCAGCTTGTGGTAATATTGCAACTGGTGCACAACCAAAGCATTTGCTGTGGGCCCTAGTAGTTCACTTAAAGATCTATTCAACTGTAGAAATCCACTGCGCCATTGTCGGATGGCCTTCCCCAAAGGTCTTTTCAGAGTGGGCTTGGTACTTTGTGGCAAGGATTGCAGAATAAAGGATGATTTGATTAGTCTTGACAACAGATTTGATGGTTATTCTTCTGGACAAGACGTCTACACAAACTGTTTCATAAGCGTCAATGGAACAGACTGTCTTGTCTTTGAGCCTTCACCTTGGACAAAAACAATGTACTCCCATAAGTTTTATGGGCCAGCTCTCAAGTATGAAGTAGGCGTTTGCTTGAAGACTGGTTGGATTGTTTGGGTGAATGGTCTGAGCTTGGTTTGAAGTAAACTGGAAGAATGGACAGGAGGAACCAAAGAAGTCTCTGGCACAGCAGGTTGTTTGTGTCGCTTCTTTTTGGAGTAGGCGTTAAAGACCATTGAATCTTGTGTGACGCTCTCTGGTAGTTGCTTACTATGTGGCAATGATGTTAAGTACTGGGTAATTGGGAGGGTGTTGGAGACAGAGGCAAGTGTTGCTTTGGTGACACTTGCCAGAATCGTTTTCTCGTAGACTCAAAGGTAATATTTGAGCATAGAAGTAGATGCAGTTGATAAAAAGGTTTCCATGTCTTCTGGGAAGAGGTGGGCATGGGATGGACATGTCTGTGATTTCAGTTCAAACAGAGTGCGGACTTTTGTCACCACCCGCTGTCAATACTTGGCTTGCTTCTGGGAAATTGTGTAGCCATGGAGATCTTTGTTTTGCTGTTCCCATAATGATATGTAGGAGATAAGAAAGAATTCCACAAGATATCCCCCCAACACGAGCAGGGGGTAAGAGTTCGAATGAAGATCAAGATCAGTAAACCACTGGAGTGAAATGTGACCGGCAAACACGTGGTGCCACACAATCTTGCTCTGAAAATGGATAACTGGATGGAGGGATGGAGGATACTTCTCTGGAGAAACCGCGTCAGTGTCTAGCCATTCCATAAGACAAGTAGCAAGAGTGTCAATGGCAATTGGCCGGAAGCCAAGTGTGGACATCCGTTGTGGTAGAGATGTAATGGTCTGCCTTTGCCATCAGAGTCGTGATAGATGAGAACATCAAAAGAGATGCTCGCAATCTTCAGGCATCTGACAGAGACAGCAAGTATCATGGGTTTGGTAGTTCCATCTTTTGAGAACAGTGGCAGTGGGCAGAATGTTGTTGCAACATTTAGTGATCAAGACATTCCTGGAGATGAGGTTTATGGCAATGCTCAGGGACTTCCAGGCAATATTGGCAAGAACCTGTGGAGTCCACTGGTTCCTCTCTGCCAAGTATGCATGATATCGGGGGAGCAGATATGAATCTGTGAGAGCTCTCTTATATTGGCTGGTGACAGAGCGTGATTGGATCTGAAGCACTGCTGGACAGGAAAGTAAAATTGATGTGATGGAATTTGGTTGAGTCATCTGAGCCTGAAAATCCCCAGCGTAACTATCAGCTTCTACATTCAGTTGACCTCCTAGGGCTACTAGCAGTACTGAGTCTTGCTATTTGCATACTATACTGGACACTAGGCTTCTTCCTCCGGTGGTTGTTCTCCTCCTCTGCTGGTGATTTGGTAGGACGTGGATGCGGAGGACAAGGAGGACGCTGAGTACTACTAGTAATTGGGGAGGGGGGAGACTTACCCATCCTTATACCACCTCTCTTGGTATTGATAGGAGACTGGAAAATAGCTGGTGCTTTTTCATCCTCTTCTTCCATTTCCTTAAACTGGAGTTGAAGGATCATTGCATCAGCAGACTTCCCCCCCCCCCCTCCCCCCCCGACCTGAATAGGAGCAACAAGGACATCTGCAGCATAGATAGAAGTATTCATCCTGTTTCAAAACTTAAGAAAGCCATCAGACCAGATGCATCCACCCCGTTCCTTGAGAGTCTTTGCTTCAATTCCCATGCTAGTCCAGAGGTCATGAGCTCTATCAAAGGTTGGATAAGAAGCTCCTGATCCATCTTGAGCTGTTGATATATCTAAATCAACCAGAGTCATACAACTTCTCATGAAATCCAGCCACTTGCAGCAAACACAAAAGGTATACTCATCAATCCATTGAAGAACAAAGTCTGATTCATGGGCACCAGTGTGGATGAGCAGTCTAATCAAAACAAAGTCTACCATATCATCTGTTTTATGGTCAAAGGTAGTCCATCTTCCAGAAAGAGCTGGGTACATGAGAGATCCGCTAACCCACTGTGTGTCTCTGTCAGGAGTAGTCTCCTTCTTCTTGCTGATAAACATGCTCCTTCCAGCAAGCTCTGAAAGGATTTCACCTTTTGTTGCTGCTGGTTGTCTCTTCGGAGGCATGTTGTTGTCTTCCTCTTCTTTGGATTCTTCTTCGGATTCGTCCTCAGATTCTGCTTGTTGTTCCTCTTCCTCCTTCTTGGCTCTGGCAATTTCTGCAAGCTTCTGTTCTACTGCTTTATATGGATCAATAAGATTAATGCATTGGTTCAGTAGATCTTGGGTAAGTGTTGCCATACTCTAAACAGAAAGGTGATCAATGAGAGCAACAAGGAGAGGCATAGGGATGAGTAAAGGAACCAACAGATGAAGTACCTTCCCAATCTTGGGCCAACTTGATTGTTTGATGGGGCTTTGGATGTAAGCTGAGCTTCTGTAGTTGTAAATAGAAGAAGGCTTGTGATTAGGATCCCAGCCTTGTTTTTCTTCTGTTCTCAAATGGATCCAGTAGTTGTAACAAGCAATCTGCTTTGACAGCTCTAGTTTCTGGTATATCAGTTCTGGATTCTGACTTTGCTCTTCCTGACGCTTGGCTTTCTTTGAGGAGGAGCATGAGCCAGCTCTTGCCATTGTGAATTATGAKGGCATCAAAGTCCCAAAGGATTGCTCATTGTTGTCAACACTGTTACTTGTTTGTTGTTGTTGCTGCTGCTGCTTATCGATCCTGTGAAGCAGTCCTTTAGAAGAGTTTAGTTAGTTTAAAACAGCAGTCTGGGAGCAAAAATTCCTTTTACTATTTATGCTAATTTTTTATGTGAATTAGGTGTTTACCACAACCATTACCAGAACAGTTACCAGAATCTGGTAGAATTTATGGTAGCAATCCTGGTAAATTACCAGTCTGCCATAATTTATACCAGATTGCTACCAGAAGAAACACTACTGGATTGCTACCATAAATGCTACCAGATTCTACCATAAATGCTACCATAATATATGCCGTGCTACCAGAAATTTTTTTGAAAATTTTCTCAACCCCCCCCTTAAGTATCAAGTTTTGTATACAGTTCACAGGACTCATTCAAATGCTTCATTTTGTGTGTTAAGCAGTGCCTGCTGGGATGTTCTGAAACAGCGACTTTCCACGTACGCTTAGCTACTAGATCCACTGCACATTTGACCACTTCGACCAATGGTTCCATTGCCCATGTACGCAGCGGCTGTATTAAGAATAGGGGGTCCCAGGAAACAATTTTCATTTAGGTCAAATTTCTCTGGCTTTTTTCTGGTAGACTTATGGTAACAACATTGTTGACTTATGGAAAAAAAAAGTCGATCATTGGTAAGTATATACAACATGTGTTAGCCCTATCAGCACGTGCCATATCTGAGACTCAGATATTATATATACGTTTATAAAGATACAATTATTTCTCCATAAATATAATTTATATATATGTACGTATACTATTTATCATAGTATAAATTATATACATGTACGTTTACTATTTATTAGTATCATACCGTACCGTAGTACTACTKTGGGTCTAGTATAAATTATACATGGGGGTTCTGGGAAGGCTACCAAAAATCAACTATAAATCAGATATCAATCAGATTAAAATCTGATTTGTATTCCTTTTCTAGTCGATTTGTAGTCAAATTCTGGTAAAAAAAATCGAACTTTGAATAAATAGTTTCCCGTATACCCCTATTTATAGTCAGTGTACGCGCAATGTGCTCATTGCAGCAACAATCTACAGTAGTCGAACTAGTCGGAGATCTGGTAGCTAAGCGTACGTGGAAATTCGCTGTTTCCGAACGTCCCTGGTTCCATTCCAGTAAAGGTCTAGTAGCGAAGGTACGTGGTAAAATCTTCAATGATGATCGTCCCTGTGAAACCTAGTTTCAATTGATCCGCAACGCGTAGTAGCTCAAAAATCCTTTTGTGTTGACGTAACGATCTGATTCTTTGCACCAATGATCATTAGTCAACAGTTCTGAGAGAAATTCAGACCACCTTTTTTCAGTTCGATTGCCGACTTCCGAAACAATATGCGTTCCTATCGACAAAAAGTACTGTCGATCTTTCTCTTTGTCACAATATTCTGGTACGATGGTTTCACTCGAGCGTATGTGTTTCGCGGATGTCCTTCGCGTTCGACATATTCCTTCCATGGATCATACGAGAACCTTTCATCAATGCGATTGAATTTCTCCAAGGATTCTGGTAGGCTCTCCGATCTATCAGATTTTGGTGCCTCGTCCTTTGATGAATTGGAGGAAGAAGTACTAGCGTCCACAAGAGCCAAAATGGATTTTCAAAAGGTCAAGATGACCATTACAGAGCAACCACCACCATTAAGCAACGAGCCACAACGCACGGCAATTATGGCAGCTCAGTGGAAGATTTCGTTGGCCGCTGCGAGTTTCGTATCTACGTTTGTTACAATAGCAACCCATTCCAATTTTCTCATTACTAGTGTTGTGTTCGTGTCGGTATTCCTCGTTGCCAACCAGGATCCCCTCGAGGAAGAAGGTGCCGCGGGAGCACTAGCAAGGTTGCTGGGAAGGCTTACAATTCAATCAGTGGAAACAACCAAACCAAAACTCAGAGCGATGGCTAAAGCAGCAATCACTTCAGAAGAAGAGAGCCAGGAACAAGTTATTCGCCTTTTGCAACAACGAATTGAGGTCCTAGAGAATGAAAACGCGGATCTAAAACAATGGAAGAAGCAGCGAAACTCAGCTGATACATTATTATCTCAATACGCGCTTGAAGAGCTGAAGGCAATGGCTCGAGCGAACAATTTACCTGTGGGAGGAACAAAGATTCAATTGCTTATGCGCTTACTGGAAAACCGAGTTCTAATTCCTATGTAATAAAACGACTCCTTAAAGATCGATATTTTCAAAATATTTATTGTATTTATTTGTCTATTAGAACTTACCATATCAGTGCTGCTATCTTTTAGCTTCGTTCCTCTATCCTGTGTTCCAGCCCAGCAAGCATTCGTGGTCCACCTGCCTGTACAGACCACAAATCCATCCGAGCACCGCTCAAGACATCGTCGGTGAGAGTTAGAACGATCCGTGCAATCATATCTGCGATTTGCGTTCGAAGGACTCCAGATCCGAGCGCGCGCTCGTGCCAGCTATCTAGAAACTTGAGTTCTTCCTTTAGATCTTCTGCTGTCGCTTGGACAGCTGCCTCGAATTCCGCAGCTTTGTACCGTCTCTGATTGAATCTACCACCCGCCATTTGAAAATGGCGTGCCATATCAACTTCTGTGATCGGCCGAAAGGAGAACGATAACTCATGACCAAGAATCTGGAAGTGAAGCCCTTCGACAAAATCAGATATGATTGCGCATGATAATGCGATTATATTGCCAAGCAAGGCACGTTGCCACGCAAGCGGGAAGAGCTTGAGTAGGGGTGCAGAAATCTGCACATGGGATAGTAGAGTTTCTGTTACTGCCTCCTGTTGCACAAACAAAGTCTCGGATAGACGGCGTTTGGATGATCGTTTCTTGGACCGTCTACTTTTCTGACGCATTACCGTCTTGATTGTCTCCTCCGCATAATTACTATGGTCACCACGAATAATTCCGTCTTTCGGGACGGGAGGCAAGTCTGGAGATTGCTCCAGAACAAGGCGAATATCAGAATGTTTCATGACGTTGATTCCGTGGAGCGATGATATTAATCTGGCTAAAAATGACATCAATGCATTTGTAACGGCCTTGTACGCCGCGGTTTCGGCCGCCTGTCCGATCTTTTCTCCAAGAGTTGGACCATTACCAATGCTCTGACGCAACAGCCAGCTGCCGCCACCGCCTTTCTTACCGTTTCTGCTGCCCTTTTTACTACCGTTTCCATCAGAATCGCGCGGTGAACGTTGGTATAACCGATGGACATCAGCAGAAGGCGTAAACAAGTCATCACCAATCGACTCCTCGTCATCGTCTTCTGCGTTTTCGCCTTCCCTCCACAGTTGTGTGTGGTTCATTTTTGTTAGTCTTCTCGTCGAAAGCATCATATCGAGATACTCTGCTACAAGGTCATCAGGTGGAAAAATTATTTTTCGAGTTGCTTGAATCTTGACCTTCTTCGTAGCATTTGGATCAGTTTGCGATCCTGACTGATGAATCCCATCTATGACCGCTTCATCATTAGTAGATACTTCTGTTCTAGTAATCGTCTCTTTTGTTGTGTAATTGAATAGAGGGTTCGGTCTCCTTTGCAACACATCTTTCTCGCAAATCAATTCAGCAAGTTGTCTCTGTCCTTCAGATATCAATGTATCAATCTCCCGCACTCTTTCCATTCGTTGATACTCCTCTTCCATCTCCTCTGGAGATTTTTGTGGGACCTTTGTTTTTTCGATTTTCTCTTTATCGCTTGTTGGATCGTCCTCTGACTTCTGGATTTTGTGCACAGCGGCTTCAATCTCAACGTCACTTTTAACACGAAAGCCAAAGAAAGATCGTTTTCGCCTTCTAACTTTTTCTTCCGCCTCGGCAAGTTCTACGCGCTCTCGAGCTTTGTCGATTGCTGCGATCTGCTTTTTGATACTGTACATCGATCCGTGGTCGATGTTGGTTGAATTAGTATCAATATCAGTATCGGTTCCGTTCATTAGATCCGAAAGTGATCGGATTGGTTTGCCGCTCATTACTCCATGAAGCCCGGTGATTCGAGCCGATAATTTTCGTACTGTACGTATCTTTCGAGAAAATCGAAGGGCAGGATATTTTGATGCAAGACCGATCGTGAGTAAATTGTCGATTGTAATCCATGCTCCAGACGACAAATACGATGGAGCAACGTCTAGTTCCGACACCGCCATTTTTGCGTTCTCGTCAGCCGTTGACGTTGCTGCGTTTTCTTTTGTTGATGATTCTTCAGCTTCAATCACCGAGGGACATACTATATCACTAGAAACTGTGATGTTACCGTCAGGTGCTTTAGATAATTTTATATTTTCACTGGTTGATCGGTCGCCTTTGTTTTTCTTTTTTCTACCTTTGCTTCTTTTCTCTTTTACTTCACTTCCGTCTTCGATTCCGAATTTTCCGTTGCTTTCGCTGGAACCGGATCTTTCTTTGTCAACTATTTCTAGAGCCACATCAATATCAATACCTTCTTCAACATCGGCATCACCAACATGCTCTCCCTCAAAATCTTCGGGATCGGATAAATGTTGCGTCCAAACATCCACCCACCAAAACGAATTAGAGTCGTCCGTTGTAACGCTATCAGATTTTGTTGTTTGCTCATCTCCCTCGATTCTTGGATCTTCTTCGAGGCCATTCGAGACTTCTCCATCGTCGGATGCAATAAGGGGCTCGCCCTCTTCACCACTTTTTGATCCTTCGTTAGTAGGTGGCTCAGTTACCGTTGCTGCTTTCGTTCGATCCCACTTTTTCTTTCCCTTCTTGTTTCTACGATCCCTCTCCTCATCATCTTCTTCATTTTTCGATTCATGGGACATTTCTTTTCTGGCAGCGATTGGTGTGGTTTCTTCTTCGGCATCGTCGTTCTCGTCGTTGGTTTCAACTTCTTGTTCGATGGAAGCCTCGTATCGTGCCAATTCGTTCATGCGAAAGGGGTCGACCAAAAATAATTTTGACGGTCTATTCTGCTCTATTAGTTTAATACTCGATGTGTCAGACTTGTTCTCTCGACTTCCTAGGGAATGATCACAATCGACGCCGTTTTCCTCGTCGACGACTTCTTCCTCTTCATCGGTAGTTACTTTCCGCTTGTTCTTCGTGTTACTGTCACTGCGCTTGTTTTTGTTCTCGTCCTTGTGCACAAGCTGCTTTTTGTATTTGTTTTTGTTTCTATTTCTATTTTCTTTTGCTTTGCTGCTAGTTCGCTTGCCGTTATTATCAGTTGTGCTTTCGTTGGCACCGCCGTTCGCAACGGATTCGCTTTTATTGCTACCGCCTCGGAGTTTCGACAGAAACGTGGCTGCAATCTTGTCGGTTCTTTTTGGGAACCCATATTCCCGATTGCCGCATCGGTGCCGAGAAGAGTGAACAAATGACAGATTTCGAGTCGGTTTTGCAGAATTGGCTCGGATTGACCGGACTTTGTCTTTGTCGAGGAACGATGCAGAGCTTGTGGACGACATGACTAGCAACAGCACCGATAGCAACAACACCATCGTATCTCGTGCCGCTGACTTTCCCATCGTGGTTACCGGTGCTGACTTAAAGAGATTGTTTGAGGCGCTTCTATTGAATATGTCTGATGGTTATTTGATGGTACACAAAATCTGAATGTTCCCATCCAACCAAAAAAGTGTGCTTCGATTCGACCTGCAACTGCCTGGAGGTGATGAAATGAACAATACAGTACTACTGTCGTAGAACTTTCGTAGCGAATTAAACTTGAATCAAATTAGGGCAGGACCCCCGGTCGGTCAGATCGGACACTTGAATTGATCAATCTACTACGTACCGCACGGTACTACGATGCGTGCCGTACCGTATTGTAATGAAAAAATACAACCGTACGCGTACCATAGTAACAGAAGGAAAACCATGAAACCTAAGGTACGAGTACTCGTACTCGTACACGGTTTCTCGTCAAAACTGTGGAGCTTCAAGCTAGCGCGCTTACAGTATCGTGCCCTCTTTTGGACGTATTTTATGTACCGTACGGTACGAGTAACAGGTACGTACTCGAAAAAATAAAAAAATAGAAGTACTGTACCGATACCGCCCGTACCTACAATTACTTCGTAACTGGTACCGTATTGCGTAGGCGTAGCGTATCGGTCGTACTCCTGTACCAAAACCAGCATGCGCTTCTACCAGTATGGTACGTACCGGTACGTACGTCCTCTCTTAGCATCACAGACCGTGCGTACCATTCGACTCCTTCGATTCATCTGATTCATACATTTGACAGAAAAGGCGCGACTGAAGGAAAACTACGCGAAACAAAAAAAATAATATTGGGAGTACGGTAAGGTACTTGTACCGTACTGGGTACTTGTACTTACCTTACCTTAGCTAGGCAGGGGTCATACCTTACCCCTAACCTTAGCTTAGGTGCCTGAGCGTGTTGATCATCAAATCCACCTTTCGCGCTCTTCTGTTCTCGGTTCTCAATAACCAGCACCATTGCTGAAGTGAAAGCGAATTACCGTAAGTACTGTGCAGAACGATAACAACTTCAACACAAATCCGACTACATCCATATCATCCTCTTAGCAATTCATCATCTTCGTGACACCAACTGACAGCGAAGCACTAGATTTCGACAACAAGATCGATCTGCGCTCCTTTGGCCGAAGAAAAAATTTCACGGAAAGCTTTTCGATGAAGTGTGAGGACTGTGGCCTTTAGAAAGTCAAAACAGCCGGACTAGCAATAAAGGTAGAGGAGAGAGACAGAGAAGCGATAGAGGAGAAACGCCTATCCTCTGTTTTGTTCCTCCATCATGGCCAGCAAGACCGGATCTTACCTGAGGAAAAGCGATCGGCAAAGAATTCTCCGGGATCTTCATCAAAAGGGAGAGCTTGAAGAGGCCGATGTTCCCGAGTCTGTCCGGAAAGAAGTAGAATCTGTCACGATGGTGGATGTCGAATGCAAGCTAAATCCCGAACCAGAATCATTCGGAACGGGATGCTTGGCTTGCGGAAGAGACGACGACCACGCCAATATAATTTTATGCGAAGCCTGCGACGCAGAATACCACACGTACGTTGTCTTTGTTGGTATTGCTGCTGTTACCCACGCATTGGCTTTATGCCTGCGTTGGAATGGAGGAAACACACAACATTAACGTACCGATTGCCCGCGTGTGACGCATCCATAGTGGAAGTATTCTCGAGTGTATACTTACCTTCTCTGTTTCAATTTCTCGCTTTCGTATTTACAAATATCAGGCACTGCTTGGAACCACCTCTAAGCTGCGTACCTGCGGGAGACTGGTATTGCCGTACGTAACATTGATGATTGCTGCTTACACTTTCCTTCGCTGCGATTATCGATGAAATTTTGGTGCCTACCTCCTTTTCTCTCTTATTCAATCATTCTTGCTCATTCTTTTCCCTTTGTCGTGACCGCAAAAACTTACGAACGATAAGCCGAGTGCAAAGGACCAGCGGGCCATGAGGACAGAGACGGCTTGGGCGCACTCGTCTGTGCTCTGCCGCCGAAATTTACGTCGCGTTTTGGAGAAGTATGCTGGGCGCATGGAGGTACGTACTGGATCCTTTCGGTTGCTCGCCATTGCCGAGATGGTAGAATATTTCTTTCGATAGATGCCATCGACAAAGGTGGACGAATCTTGATAACCTTTCCGTCCGTAGGAATGTTCGTCTTAGTACCAGAAAAGTGGGATTGAAATCATTTGTTGCCATTTTTTCAAAGCTCATACTTGCTGTATCGGCGATATCTCATGTTACCAGGGGTGGGATTTGGATGGTGGGTAAGTTTTCTTTGATTTCTCTGCACGTATTGGTGTCATGTGGAAAGTATCTTTATACATTTGGAACTCTAAAAAGTTCGTCCCTTTCAGAGATGCTAGTAATGGATGATTGCTTGTTTCGATCGATATTTTCTCATTCCCAAGTTGTTTTCGCACCGACCAACGACGCTCACTCCAGCCAGCCATCATTTATGATCCTAGATTCACATCAGGCAAAGTTCGAGAGGAAGCAAAAAAGAGTTTGGGGAAGCGACAGCTAGTTTATTTCTTTGCATGCAAGGATACTCCTTTTTCTGTTCTAACGATGTCAAAGATTACGAAGTAGGTGGAGACAATATTCGATTGATAAATCATTGGCTTTGCCGTATTCCTGCTAACAATTCTTAATTCGCGATTCGCTCTCTCCGTACTCAACGATCTTCTAGATGGTATGATGGTATGAGCGACGATTTCCACTTGGGCAAAACTGCACGCAGTTCCGGACAAAAGAGAACAACAAACTTCAGGGAAGCACTGCAGGCAGCCACAATCGAAATGGCAAAACCGATTGAAATGAGAATGGACTGGAAGTACGTTATTTCAGATATCATATTATATCCTGCTGAAAGCTTAAGATAGCGAATCACTGATACTTGATTTGTAGCTTTCGCCAACCATCGACTCACTATATCTATTTCCATCAAATTCTGGCATCTTTCCCGGATCAATTGCCTCGGCGAAAATCACAGCCACTCCGACCAGCCACAGATTCTTCCATCTCCCCAACCCAAAAAAGTTCCCCCGCCCAGAAAACGCAAGAGGCGGCAGCTTTCTCCGCAGCGCTCTGCATCGAACAAGGTATCCAGGCCCAAACCACGATCCAGATCCAGAGGCTTTCCGCTGATACCGGACGAGACCGTGCAGGTCTTGACTCGAAGAAATTTGGACTTTGCACTGGAGGGGCTGAGGATGACAAACCAAAATACGAGAAGCCTTGTCTACCCTATCATAGAGCCCTCGGAGGACGGAGAGCTTTTTGTGAAAATCCTCCAGAAAGAAAGCCTTCCCGTGGAGGGACTGGATGGAGAAACGCTGCCAAATTCGTTCAAGAACGTGGGCTTTATAAAACTGGCATCGAGAAAAACGAATACATTTTCCGACGCTAGGTTGGTGATTCAAGAAGAACTGGTACCGGACACCATTTCTTCCGATGCAGAATGGAGATTCTTTGTGCCGGGCCTGGGTCCGGTCAGCAGCAAACAAGAAACGATCATGGGACCAGTGTATTCGTTCCTTCGCCAGACAACTCGCCACTCCAACCTCGGGGACGGGACACTGCTCCATCCCCTGAAGGTGTTCATTGTGGAGCTCAAAACTTCGGCAGGAACCAGCTCCGGTACCGAGCCTCCGACCACCGCTTCTGAAAATTGAATCACGGGTTGGAAATAGAAGCGAGCATCCGCCGACCAAATCAGACTCCACACGCACGCACACATGCACACGGCCGAGGCGATCACGTCGGTCTCCTACTGTGTAGGGAGATCCACAATCTCCATTACAAGGTTCCTTGTTCACGAATACTAAGACAAGCCGGTAGTACAGAAATTGTCCAATAGCAAACGCAATGCATTTTGAGCCACCGTGTTTGTCGATTTCTATGGTTTCGTTTTGAGCCTCCATGAATTGTTGGACGTCGGTGCAGTTTTGTCGTTATCTCACTGCATGGACACAAATCGCCACACCAGCGTCTACCCCGCTGTAGGGGTGCGGCAGATGATCGATGTATATGCAACCTCGCGCCGTGGTAAGAGTTGCATCGAGGTACGTTTCACAAGAAAACAGGTTCCGGAGAAGGCTTAATCTAAAAGCAGTTGCTGCACCAGAGGGGATGCACAGAACGTTTGATGTTCTCAATACTTAGTATTAATAGTCAATATTTTGTAAAAACTTGCTCCGTACATAAACAGCGGATGTACATTCGCATATTGGAAATAAGATACGAAGGCAGTTCTTGCCATTCCTTGATGATTGTATAGCAATGCCATAATCTCAGACGATGGGTGTTGGCGATTGTGGGAGTGGTGGTGACGATTCCATGTTGCTGTACATGCTTTGCAATTCGATGTATGGCGCTCCGAATCCTGTTTGTTGCTGCAGAACGCTTGGGGATGAATACTGCTTTGCCTTCTGACTCCGCTTGTAGATAGTAGCCATAACAGCACAAAGGATGGACAAGAGGCATACAGCGGCGAAGGGTTGCGACGAGAGCGGGTTCTGTAATGGAATGCCGGAGGCTTTCGCCGCAGCCGTGGCCACCCTGCCGGTGCTGCTGCTTCTGACCGTGATTTGCAACTCGTCCGGCATGAAGAGGACCGCATCGGCATACGCATTCTGCATCACTTGTTTGAGATGGAGGCCATCTTTCTGGACGCTACCGAAATTTCCAGTCCCGTCTTCTCCACCCCAGCATCCGAAGAAAATCCGATGGGGCTCTCCGGTGACGGGGTCCCACTGAACGTCCAGGCCGGTAACGAGAGTGAACTGGCGTGCAAAGGATTTGTCGGCAACATTTAGGCGGCAAAAATTCTTCACCTGCTCCTTGCCCAGAAACACATCCTTGGTTTGTGAGGCAGCCTTCACCACCGGCAGTCCCTGCTCGTCTGTAGAAATGTCAATGGGGATGCACTCGATGCCGGCTTCATAAACGGTCCTGCAGAAGTAGTCCGGCTTTTGTGTCCGGGGGTTGTAATTCAATCGCAAGCTTCCCCCGTCCCAGACACTCGCATCAAAGTGGGCGCCATCAATGACCGTTCCAGTCCCGGTCAGATCCTGGCGCTTCAATCCGTCCTTGATCGAATTGGCCCCTTCGGGAAAGGCCCAGACACGCGAGGTCAGCTCTCCGGTATCAATACCAGGACTGAATAAGACGCTCATCAAGAAGGTTCTCCTAGAGCCGGTTTGAGATGCCGGAATGATGGCCAGTCCTCCGTAGGGCAGGACGGCCTCTCGGCCCCGTGCGCTCTGGTAAACAATCGAGACCGGTTCGGTGCATCGTGGAAAGTTGCTGGAACGCGAAAAGTGATCGTTGGCTTGCACCGTGTCCAAAAAGACACAATCCGACTCTTCTGTCTTGAGCCTTGACACGCCGAGCGTCCACATAAGTTTCTTGCTCGACGAGAAGGTGTCCCCGCAGTCCTTGTAAAAGCCCTCCCACGAAACAAACGTGTCTCCGGTGTGTTCGTCGATCACGAATGATCGGACGATCGTGTTCGCATATGTGTGATGATATTCGTTGTTGGAGTCGAATTCCTTGGCGTTGCTGTGAAAGCCTAGATCTTCGTAGTCGGCCTTTGTGCAGCAGTCAAAGTCACACTCGTTCCAATCGATGACCGATTGTGTTTTGAAGACCGACTCAAACTTGAGAGAGCCATCGTGATTCACAATCTTCTTGTCGAAATCGATGGCATCGGGAACCTGGGCGCGGACAATTTCCCAATCGCTATCCTCTCCCTTCAAGTAGTGAGCCTTGTGGGTGTTGGCATAGAGATAGTTCTTCTTCTTCTTTCTATCCAGAGGACTTTCCCGCAACGACGACAGGTCGAATTGCAGATTCCGCAACAAAAGTTCCGACTGATCGGCGCCACCAAAGTTGTGGCCATCGCCGACTTTGGTGGCGGCGTTGCAAATCTCTTCGTCTTCTCCGTAGTGCGTAAAGTCGTCGAACAAGTCCTCTGGTGTCTCGAGCGTACACCTGTACAATCCCGTAAAAGCCTTGCCTTCGGTCAGTTTCAGATTGCTGGAGGCAGACGTTGTGAAGAACAGAGTTTTGCCCTTGGGCTGTTCGTACAGTTCTCGTAGAAGTTGTTCTCGAAACATGTTGCTTTCGTCTGTATGACTCTTCCAGATTGTTTTGATAAGATCAAGATCGTCTTTGTTGTGGGAAGGCGATTGGTGTCAGCTAGTGAAGCAATGACGAATGTGTGTTGCGCGAAAATAGTTGACTCGGAAAAAAGAAAAAAGAACATAGCTAGATGACGTCTTCCAAGACGGAAGAAATGCATGAAATCCAATCAATCAACTGGAATTCCAAATCAAGTAGGAGGCGTGCGGAAAAAACTCACGACTACGTCAAGTCTTATTCGTAGTACGAGTACGTTAGTACGGAATCCTGAAAAGTGCGAAAAACGAAAAATGGTGTCTCTTTATAGTTTCTACGATGTTCTAGCACGTGCTCGTGAATTTGCGAGCTAGGGGGGCTTGTGACACAATCATAACAGATGTCATTCTGGTGTTGAAGGTTCACGACAGCTCCAAGAACACTCTTCTTTCAAGCTCTACTAGTACTAGCAGTAGTGTCAAACTGCAGACTCATCCTTATCTTCAGTCATGTAGATCCAGCATGTATGATAGTTCCCCCAAAGAAGACCTATTTCCACCACCAACAACAACAACAACAAGAACAACAAGAAGAAATAACAAGAAAGAAGAACTCCTCCTTCTTGTTCTTGTTGTTGTTCTTCTTCATCTTCATGCATACCTATGTTCCTACTGGGCAGTGATCTGTAAAGATCAATGAGCTTGTTGCCGCAGTCAATGATGAATTGATGGCCAAGGGATTCTGCAGCATCTCCTTTAAAAAAAATTGAGGAAGAAGCGGGCTTTATTTGTTTTGGAATAGAGCAATTGGCAAGAAGGATTAAATTTCAATGGGAATAGAGTGCAAAACTAGAAAGAAATTTGGGTCAGATCTAATGTCAATTTTGTTGGACCAGGATGCATTCCAGATAGAATCTAATTTCAATTTTTGTCTGACTGGGAGGCATTCCAGATGCAATCTAATTTCTATTTATGTCAAACCAGGACGCAATCTGGGTACAATCCAATCTTAGTTTTGTTGGGCCAGGAAAGAATAAAGGGGCAATCTAGAGGCAATTGAAATGAAAACTGTAAGAATGCAATGTTGATTGTGTCTCATCTGATCTTGATTATGTGTCAAATTGAACATCAGAATTTTGGCAAAGGGGGTTGAATTAGATGGCAATTCAAAGGCAATCAAGTTTGATGAAAAAAAAATCAGAATCAAATCTGGATTCAATGGGAATCATGATTCACCCAGTCTTGATTGTTGACCAGATCATTTTTCTTTGCCCAGTACCATACCATTGTACAACCCAAACAAAACAATTACATTGGGTACACCAGAAGTAAGGGTGAAAAATATGGGACAGCAAGGCTGGCTTGCAGTGTGACACCAAATCAAGAGTATGGTACTACACAGAGTGGGTTACTAATGCAGGCAGTAGTACCACCAACCATTGTTGTGTGGTGGGTCAAAAGATAGTTTGATTTCCAAAAACCACACAATATGCACCACCGAGCTACTAGGGTAAACACAATGGCACCCAGACAAGCAACACAAACAACCCCAGGAAAACAAACAAGGTCAATGTGACTGAAAGAAACTGGGTTTGATAAAGATGCAACAAAGTGTACTGTTAATAGGAACATAGACATGTTTACAGACAAGGGTGGAAATGGGGGTGTGACTTGACATCAGTCAAAAACAACAACTTGATAAAGCAGTTCATCAGACAAAACAAATAATTGAAAAGGCAGTTGAAAGAAAAGGAGGACAACAAGATCATGTGGGTATCAAAGAAGGTAAAAACAGGTCACAGTGCAACAGGAACCAACATGAAAGGTTCAATTAGTGACCTTGAGTTAACTGGTGGAGACGAGATTGACAAGAAGTGGTAGACGAGATTGACAAGAAGTGTTAGGTGGTATTGGATCACGGTCCAAGGAAGAAGTGGAACAAGCTTTGGGAAGGAGATGGGCCCCTCAGCATTGGTTGGAGCAGTATCGAGGAGTGGGAGCTCACCTTATCCATCTACCAAAAGAAATATGCGCCAGACCAGAATGCATGTGACAATGTGATTAGCTACCTACACTCAGACAATTAAGAAGCCCCCAGGCATCTCGTGTCAGGCACACGCTGATAGGATCATCACATATTGCAAGAGAGCAAACACCTTGCATGGTATCTGGAAGGAGCTTGAGGATATGGAAATTAAACTCAGTGTGTTCCAGTCTTTTCCCCAACAATGGCATACTGGATACAAGCTCAGCGGTAGAGACCTATTGGAGGATACCATTGAGGATATGGTGGTTAAGTATATGAATGACAAGAAGGGCGTTGCTGATGAAGACGGTGGATGGAAGGGAGCAGTCAACAACAAGGACCCCAGGAAACATGACAATAAGAGACAAGACAAGTCTTTCTTTGAGAAGCATGAACAGCAATGGAGAAAGGCAGAGGCGGCTCTGTGTTGTAGACACCATGGAGTCCACACTTGGGGCGAGTGTCCAGACAACAGACATAGACACAGATAAGGCTTCCAAGGCAGTCGCAGAGGCTTCCATGGACAAGGCTTCCAAGGCGGTTGCGGAGGATACCACCAGCAACCTACCACTACAACCAATGAAACCTACTACCAACTCACCAGAGATGGAGCCTTTGTACCTGTGGCGCAAGCAGATCAGTCCTTGCTTTCCTATCGTATAGTTCCAACTGCAGGTCACCCAGCAGGTCCGCCAAGCCACATGTCGGTTCAGTCAAGTCTACCAAGCCACCAGCAGCACAATCCATAGGCATTCTATTCTAACCAAAAACACAATCAAGCAGGAGCAGTGCACACAGTGCTGACTACCAATGGAGATGGAGTCTCCAGAAGATTTTCTTAACCACCAAGCAAACTATCAGATGGCTTGATAGATCCATTGAGATGTGCGCACCTGATCATTTTAATGATCCGCAGAACGTTGCAGACGTGTTATGGCTTGCAGAGGACAATGAATTCTTGGATGGAAGTTTCCTGGAGTTCTGTGACGATGAACTCCTGGATGATGGTTTCCTGGAGTTCCATCTCCGGTCTGGCAAATCTTCAGAGACCTTCCTAGCAGGACCCCAGCAGTACAGCGGTGCAAACATAACTCAAATTTTTGATGCCAAATACCAAGAAGTCACACCAGAGCAAGTAGCTGCTCAACAAGACCACATGAATAAAGACCAGTGCCAAGCCTTTAAAGAAGTGCCGGCCAAATACCAAGTCATATTTGACAGCAAATTGGGGAGATATCTCCATGAAAAAGATCCATGTAGTAGATCGCATTGAAGGCCCAAGATCAGTATGGAAAAAGCCTTATCTGGTACCATACAGACATAGAGAAGTCTTCAAAAAGGAATGTCAACACTTGGTCAATGAAGGCATCATTGCACCCACACTCAATTCTGAATGGGGATTCCTAGCATTCATCATACCAAGAAAGAAAGATAGCAGAGTACAGTGGCTGGTAGATCTAAGAGAACTTCACAAGCTAGTTAAAGGCCCAAAGTTCTCACTACCGCAAATCCCCGACATCATGAACTGAAGAGGAGGATACAACTACTTCACAAAGATAGATCTGTCCATGATGTCCTACTGTTTTGAACTGGATGAGGAGAGCCAGAAGATCTGTACTCTCACTACTGAACATGGTACTAACTATTGATGTCTTTGGTTACCTATGGGGTTGAAGTCATCTCCAGACTACACTCAAGCTTTCATCACTAAGATTCTCAACAGATTAGATGTGGAGGTCATCTACATAGATGGCATGGGACTCTGGACATCTGGATCCTTTGAAGAGCACATGTTCTTGGTGGCCTCCATCTTGCAATGCTTGGCAGCAAACGATATGAAGTGCAACCCTCTCAAGTGTGAAGGGGCTGTCAAGGAGTCTGACTTTCTTGGATATTGGCTCACCCCCAAAGGTGTTAATTAAGCCTTGGCAAAAGAAAGTTGACAGTATCCTTAAGGTGGGCATGCTGCAGAACCAGGAACAGGCGCCATCCTTCCTTGGCGCAGTAAACTACTACATATCTATGTGGCCCCATCCATCTCATCTATTCATTCCTCTTACAGCTTTAATGGGATCTGGCCCCTATGTTTGGACACCTGCTTGTGACAAGGCTTTCAAAGAAATGAAAGCTCTGTTTGCACATGATGCAATCAACATCTTTCCTGATTTGAATTTGCCTTTGATATATACACTGATGCCTTGGACTACCAGCTTGGTGCAGCTATCCTACAAAGTCAACCGCCCTCTGGAGTCCAGTGTCCCATTGCTTATTGGTCAAAGAAGCTTGACAAAGCTCAACTCAACTACTCAACAATGGAAAAGGAGCTCCTTGCTGTTGTCTTGTGTCTTAAAGAATATTGCAACATGCTATACAGTGGTCAAATCAATTTTTACACTGATCACAAAAACCTCACCTTTTGGACGCTATCTCAAGCTTGAGTCCTATGTCGGCGCCTTGCCATTAAAGATTTCGATATCACTTGGGGCTACATCCCAGGAAAGGACAATGTTCTTGCAGATTGTTTTTCTAGAGTGCCCAGGATGTCTCCATGCACTGTGGGGGATAAAGAAAAGAAAAAGTATGAACATAAACACAGTGTAGTAGTCAACTTCAAAGAACTCACTGCACCTGTGGATGATGCTGATGTTTTCTTCCTTGAACAAGAACTACACGAGTGCCTATTAAACATGTTATTTTGTGCAGACTCAGATAGGACCCTCAAACAGGAGACCTA